CCGCTGCCGCATGCCTGCCATTTAGGCTACTGCACCTCCCAACCCCACCGCCGTCGCTGCCGCTGCTGCTGCGTTGCTAATTCCCGCCGCCGCCGCGCCTGCCGTTAAGGCTACTGCACCTCCCAGCCCCAACACCGTCGCTGCCGCTGCTGCTGTGTTGCTATTTCTCCCCGCCGCCATGCCTGCCATTTAGGCTACTGCACCTCCCAGCCCCACCTTCATCGTGGCCACTGCTACTCCGTTGCTAATTCCTGCGGCCGCCGTGCTGCTGCTGTTGCTATTTCCCACCACTGCCGCGCCTGCCGTTTAGGCTACTGCACCTCCCAGCCCCTTCACTGTCGCTGCCGCTGCTGCTGTGTTGCTATTTCCCCCCGCCGCCGTGCCTGCCATTCAGGCTACTGCACCTCCCAACCCCACCGCCGTCACTGCTGCTGCTACTCCGTTGCTAATTCCCGCCGCTGCTGCACCTGCTGCTGTTGCTATTTCCTGCCGCTGCCGCACCTGCCATTTAGGCTACTGCACCTCCAAGCCCCTTCGCCGTCGCTGCCGCTGCTGCTGTGTTGCTATTTCCCGCCGCCGCCGCGCCTGCCATTTAGGCTACTGCACCTCCCAGCCCCTTCACCGTCGCTGCCGCTGCTGCTGTGTTGCTATTTCCCGCCGCCGCCGCGCCTGCCATTTAGGCTACTGCACCTCCCAGCCCCACCTTCGTCACTGCCGCTGCTACTCCGTTGCTAATTCCCGCCGCCGCCGCGCCTGCTGCTGTTGCTATTTCCCGCCGCTGCCGCGCCTGCCGTTTAGGCTACTGCACCTCCCAGCCCCTCCTCGTCGCTGCCGCTGCTGCTGTGTTGCTTATTCCCCCCGCCACCGTGCCTGCCATTCAGGCTACTGCACCTCCCAACCCCACCGCCGTCACTGCTGCTGCTACTCCGTTGCTAATTCCCGCCGCCGCCGCGCCTGCTGGACTTGCATTTCTGGACTGGCGAGAATTTTGAAAATTTTGTTTCACGAAATGGCATCCCTGGATCACACTTGCGATTTATTGAATGTGCTGCTACTACTACTACTTGTGTGTATATAGTAGTACTGGTACTACCCTTTAGTATAATAGTAGTAGGTATATAGTCAAAGTAAGAAAAATGACTTGCATGCCAGAGTTGAACTGGCAGCCACAGCAATACCAAAATAGTGTTTGTATGTTCTCTGTGGCTACATCACTTGGAAGAGAGTGAAGAGAGAAAAGATTGGATGGCCAATTGGATGTGGCCCATTTTTGAAAAATAAAGGCCCTCCCTAATGCACCTCCCAGCCCCACCGCCGTTGCTGCCGCTGCTACTCCGTTGCTGATTCCCGCCGCCGCCGCGCCTGTTGTTCAGACAATTGCACCTCCCAGACCCACCTTCGTCGCTGCCGCTGCTACTCCGTTGCTTATTCCCGCCGCCGCCGCGCCTGTTGTTCAGGCTAATGCACCTCCCAGCCCCTTCGCCGTCGCTGCCGCTGCTACTCCGTTGCTAATTCCCGCCGCCGCCGCGCCTGCTGCTGTTGCTATTTCCCGCCGCCGCCGCGCCTGTTGTTCAGACAATTGCATCTCCCAGCCCCACCTTCGTCGCTGCTACTCCGTTGCTAATTCCCGCCGCCGCCGCGCCTGCTGCATTGCTATTTCCTGCCGCCGCCACGCCTGCCGTTTAGGCTACTGCACCTCCCAACCCCACCGCCGTCGCTGCCACTGCTGCTGCGTTGCTAATTCCCGCCGCCGTCACGCCTGCCGTTTAGGCTACTGCACCTCCCAGCCCCAACACCGTCGCTCCTGCTGCTGCTGCGTTGCTATTTCCCGCCACCGCCGCACCTGCTGCTGTTGCTATTTCCCACCGCCGCCGCGCCTATTGTGCAGACTAATGCACCTCCCAGCCCCACCTTCGTCGCTGCCGCTGCTACTCCGTTGCTAATTCCCGCCGCCGTCGCACCTGCTGCTGTTGCTATTTCCCGCCGCCGCCGCGCCTGTTGTTCAGACTAATGTATCTCCCAACCCCACCGCAGTCGCTGCCGCTGCTGCTGCGTTGCTGATTCCCCCCGCCGCCGCGCCTGCTGTTGAGAGTAATGGCCCTCCAAGCCCCACCTTCGTCGCTGCTGCTGCTGTGGCGTTGCTATTTCCCGCCGCCGCCGCGCCTGCCGTTTAGGCTACTGCACCTCCCAGCCCCACCTTCGTCGCTGCCGCTGCTGCTGCGTTGCTAATTCCTGCCGCCGCCGCGCCTGCTCGTTTAGGCTACTGCACCTCCCAGCCCCAACACCGTCGCTCCTGCTGCTGCTGCGTTGCTATTTTCCGCCACCGCCGCACCTGCTGCTGTTGCTATTTCCCACCACCGCCGCGCCTATTGTGCAGACTAATGCACCTCCCAGCCCCACCTTCGTCGCTGCCGCTGCTACTCCGTTGCTAATTCCCGCCGCCGTCGCACCTGCTGCTGTTGCTATTTCCCGCCGCCGCCGCGCCTGTTGTTCAGACTAATGTATCTCCCAACCCCACCGCAGTCGCTGCCGCTGCTGCTGCGTTGCTGATTCCCCCCGCCGCCGCGCCTGCTGTTGAGAGTAATGGCCCTCCAAGCCCCACCTTCGTCGCTGCTGCTGCTGTGGCGTTGCTATTTCCCGCCGCCGCCGCGCCTGCCGTTTAGGCTACTGCACCTCCCAGCCCCACCTTCGTCGCTGCCGCTGCTGCTGCGTTGCTAATTCCTGCCGCCGCCGCGCCTGCTCCTGTTGCTATTTCCCACTGCCGCCGCGCCTATTGTGCAGACTAATGCACCTCCCAGCCCCACCTTCGTCGCTGCCGCTGCTACTCCGTTGCTAATTCCCGCCGCCGCCGCACCTGCTGCTGTTGCTATTTCCCACCGCCGCCGCGCCTATTGCGCAGACTAATGCACCTCCCAGCCCCACCGCCGTCACTGCTGCTGCTACTCCGTTGCTCATTCCCGCCGCCGCTGCGCCTGCTGCTGTTGCTATTTCCTGCCGCTGCCGTGCCTGCCATTTAGGCTACTGCACCTCCAAGCCCCTTCGCCGTCGCTGCCGCTGCTGCTGTGTTGCTATTTCCCGCCGCCGCCGCGCCTGCCATTTAGGCTACTGCACCTCCAAGCCCCTTCGCCGTCGCTGCCGCTGCTGCTGTGTTGCTATTTCCCGCCGCCGCCGCGCCTGCCGTTTAGGCTACTGCACCTCCCAGCCCCACCTTCGTCACTGCCGCTGCTACTCCGCTGCTAATTCCCGCCGCCGCCGCGCCTGCTGCTGTTGCTATTTCCCGCCGCTGCCACGCCTGCCGTTTAGGCTACTGCACCTCCCAGCCCCTTCACCGTCGCTGCCGCTGCTACTCCGTTGCTTATTCCCGCCGCCTCCGCGCCTGTACTTCTGACACATTACAGCCACACAGCGCAACCCCTCCAACAACAACAGGATGCCAGAATGCAGGGGCAGAGGAACATACGCCTGTATGGAGGCGCTGGCTCGCCACCTGCACCATGCACACCTGGTCAACCCAGCGCTACCAGATGGGGTGCACAGCCTGTACAAGGCTGCTGGCCCA